AGACATGAATATATATCTGCAAATTGGCATGTTAGTGCAATATGCAATAAATAGGTGTATTTTCAGAATTACATGCCACGACTAGGACTCAGTGCATTCAGGTAAAAACATGTATTGGCTGTCACATCTCCAGTTGTTCCATCCAATAATTCTAGAAATTGCAGAGGTTGAGAGTGTGGGAGGAGTAGGATTAGATAGGGGAGGAGTGATGTGACTGTCCAGGGGAATTCCTTTTTTGGGAGATTCATTATTTCATTGTTCTGACATTTTTCTAGTTATTTAATATTCCATTATTACTCCCAGAAAAATACAAATAATTTCATCTGAAATGTTTACTTTAGTCAACAAGTTAACTTTCACTCACTGAACGACTGCTCTTCAGATGTTGAATAAACACATTTTTGTCTTTTACCCTTATTAATCAGATGTCAATATGTACTGCTATCTGGGGACTATTCCACAATGTATCAGATTTAATTTCACTATCCAGCTTAAGGTAAAATGTAATAGTATCACAAACATTGCTAACAGGATGTATAGGAGATACTTCAGTGTTTAAAAAGTTCATCTCACTGGGTTGGTTTTTTCATGTCTTCTGGAAATTAGACCACCGTTCCATTAACTAGCTGATTTTTCTTTCTTTCCTTCCACGTATTTTCATATATTCTTAAGGTAAGAAACAGATGTCAGCTTACTGCCTAAATTTGTAGTTTTGATATAATACAACTTTTGGGTGATGTCTTTTAGACATCCAATGGAAGCAGACCAATTGCTTATAAAATGAACTGGACCCTTGGCCCACCGGAGGCCATAGCAGAGAAGAGGATTTTGGCATCATTGGACAATATTATGAACAGTTTTCCACATCGTCTTCAGGGGGCGCTATCATGGAGCACTTTTAACCACCTGCTCATTACACTACGGTCTGCTGGAAATGCTACTAGGGGACGTTCCCGCCTCCTGCCATCACACATGCAGCGCAGCACCTCCTGCAGTCATGCCACTCCACCTTCCACAGCTAATACACGTCAGTAAGCATTCGGCCTTGTTAGACCAGGTGTACTGCTATCTGTTCTCTGTTATAACTGCACATATACCATTGCTATTTTATTACTCCTTTATTTAAATATTTATTTGTGTAGCATCACAATGTTCTCTCTTAGGATATTTTATTGGCATTCTATGTACTTTTTAAAATTCACTTGCACTGTGTGTGCCGTCTTTGCACCTTGTCTGTTTGGCACCATATGTGTTCGTCTGTGCGGCATGTTCTTGCTGCTGAATGCAGCAGAATTTCCCAGTAGGATCAATAAAGTCCATCTTAATAAAGTCCATCTTTAAATAGATGAATATCAGATATAATATGCAAGTAGGTATACTAACCAAATAGCCCAAATAACACAAAACATTAGTAAACCAGGATAATTATGTTCAATAGATCCCATTCTTATATTAAGAACAATCAGTGCAGTGATAGAATAAGCCTTAACACCGTAACATCCATGTTATTCAAGACGCCCCTGCAAGAGCTGTTATGACATGCTGAGATACCACATGATTTCTGGGATTTTTGCTTTTAAATGATAAAAGTTAAAAGAACAAGAGCTAGAAAAGTTTCTTTGTAACACAACATAAAATGTGTGTGGTATACTGTGACAATACAGTGTCCCCTTCACATTTGCAAGGCTTAGGGGCGGAAGATCATCAAAAATGTGAAAATTCACGAATAAGAGGCCTGCTTAGGCATACCTAACCTCAACCCACAACAGTCTGCGAACCCAAGCGATAACATAAGTCTCTTTATTATCAATTTCTAACTAAACAGTACTGTACTGTACATTTGTGTGTCAAATTACTACCTCACTTCCTATCTAGACCTTTTTATATAACCAGGGATAAACATAACTGGTACGCAAGTACGCATTCACCTTTGAAAACGATAAATGTGACAATCGATTGTTTGTAAAAGTGCAAATGCGTACTTATGTGCATTTGCGCTGCTATGACAATACCTCGCATTTTAACCAGTATACCGCAAATGAAGTAGAGCTAGCATATAAAGATTAAAATGCATTACATTTTGTTTTCATATCAGCGCAAATGCACATAAAATAAGTATGGATTTACACTGTTACCACAATCGACTGTCGGAAATATTTTTAAAGGTGAATGCGTACTTGCATGGGTATGTCCATCCCTGTATTATAATATACAAACCATGTAGAATTATGCCCCTGCATGTATGAAGATACTACTGTACAGTGGGAGCACATTCTGGACCCATTATTAAAAATGCAAAATTAACCAAACTGAAAAGCGTACAAGTTATTGTGAGAAATGCGAGATTCCATGGTCACAGATAGCTAAAACAGGGGTGTGGCTGGTTGCTGAGACAAAGACTCCCATCATTAAATTAAAGATGCACTTAAATATCTAATAAATATTATGTATCACTAATACTTAAAAATATGATTATGTGAAACATTCAGCATTGTTTTTGGCTTACATGTTGACTGTAATCTTTCAGCAAGCTCCAAAAATATTTGATTTATTCATGGCCAGCTCACAAATAACCAAAACCGCGAATGACAAATTCGCAAATGCGAAGTGGGTACAACATCCTCACTTAATTCTGCCTCAAGAGTCCTTGGTTATACAGTACCCCCCCAGTATCCACTGTTTCAGTTATCCGTAGTTCACTATAGTCCAAAAATATATAGTAAAATATGTACCATGTTTTTTTGGCATTGTTCTTTCATCCTTTGAGGGATATAAAAAGTATGATTTGCATTGCTCTGTCATCCCTTGATACACTACATTTTTTCACTGATCAGTTACCTCTTGAGAATTAGGTTAAAACATCAGAATCTCTCATTTGACGGAGTACACAAAGCCTAGAGTACTGTATAACAATGTGCAACGTTACCGTGTTTAATGTTGGTAATGTCTTACTGTGCATAATTTATCAATTAATCTTTGCCATACACATGTACATGAAAATCATGTTATGTATGGGATGCATAGATGGTTCACTATCATGTGCGGTTTTGGCTATTTGTGGTCCTGCAACATCACCAACGGATACTGCGGAACTACTTTATATTGCGTGTAAAATTAGGTGGGGTGATTTAGAAAACTCTGGACACGTATAAAATATCAAAAAGGTGGAAAGTACACACACAAAAACCGCCATGTTTAAATTGTGTGTCACTCTGACACAGTTCAAATAAATCAATACAACAGGTAATAGAAACTAATCCTTACAGTTAGTGTGCCATTACAGCACTGAGAATGGGGCCTAACTTGGATTCGGATGCAGCTCTTGGCTAACAACATACCATGTATTGGTGAACTATTTGCAATTGAGTGAATATCAGCAGTAATTCACTGTAGCTAAAACTGTCACTGTTCATGCAATAATATATCATTTGGAAGTGGTTAATGTTCATAAATAAGAATTATATTCACAACCTAATCTTCAACTTAAATCATGTTGATATAGATCCTTGTTTTTGCAACAAGAATAGTATCAGTGTACAGTGGTACCTCGGTTCTCGAACTTAATCCGTTCCGGACTCCGGATCGAATCCTAAAAAGTTTGAGTTCTAATCGAATTTTCCCCATAAGAAATAATGGAAAACCAATTAATTGGTTCCCGGCCCCCCAAAATTACACCTAAATGATTTTTTTTTTAGCATTTAAACACAAAATGAACAGGATAAAACAAGAGCAGCATTTTTCTTAATGGCTTCCAAAATGATAAAGATCTTATCCCAAAATTACCCCTGTCCTGCCCTGATCGGCCGCTCCTTCCGTGTGCCACGCCCGCTCGTTAACCTCGTGTGGGATCCCCATGGGATCAGATGTTTCTGGTTGTTGTCATTAGTCCTCTGTATTAAGTCCGCGTTTCAGTTGGTTTCCCCAGTCCGGTCATTGGGTGCGTTCGACTTTCTTTAAGCCAGCGCTGTAAGCAACGCATTCTGATCCAGATGCAATGCATTACGGTTAGATGCATTGCGACCTCTCATCCAGCTGCACAAACTGGAACCGCCTCCGTGACAACACACCTTTGCCCTTATTGGCTGAAGAGTTTAGTTACACGCATCACGTTTGTATCCCAGGCAGTTCCGATGTGTAATCTGCTATTTCTCCGAAATATCACGTAAAGCAGTGAGAACTGGTTTACGTGACCACTGTACTGAACAGTAATTCAGAGTTTAGAAACTAAAATTTGAGACCGCATTCTATTGGTTAAGATTAGGAAAATTTAATAAATTAAATTTGTAAAAAATGCATCTCAAAATTTAATGAACGCTTTTTACAATCAAGACCACAAAATTCTGCAATATCATTACCCACAACACACATAGGTTCTCGAAACTATTTCAGAGGACACTGGCAATACCACCATCTGGCCAGCAATGCCGCTCCAAAGATATTTTATTAAAGGGGAAACGCACACAAAGTCGGTAAATAAACCAAAATCACCAAAATACCACCTCAAATTTACCATGATATAATTCAAAATAAAATGGGCACTTGATTTCTGGTTAAAAGTATTTTCTGTAGATCATCTCATCGTTGTAGTAGGTAACGCAGGCCAAGAAATTCACATCCTGCTGAAGGAAAGATATAGTGATGTGTAGCTATCGTACCTCGTAAGACATCACCCTTAAGTCCATTTACAGGTACAGTTCATTGCAAAAATCAAATCAGGTCTAAATTCACCCCAATTCAGCTGCCATTAAACGCTGAATTGAAAATTGACTGGAATACACCACAGATGTCCTTAATCAGATATACAAAGCTTCTAATGTCCTGCTGTGATTAAAAAAAAAACATGAATGGTTCACGGCAGCTCGAATACACGTGATGTGTGACTTGTTCACTTGTGTACAGCCAATGTATATTCAACACATTAACCTATTTAATGTCTTTAACCCCCCCCCCCCACCAAATTTACTCTTGTCCCTTGTTCAGCAAAATGTACAACACACCTACATATGTTAGACATTTATTTAAAAAAAAAAGACCTGTTAACAGATCCATATAAAGCAGAAAGCTGTTACATAAAACATATGGAAGTCAGAATCATTTAATTTCCCGTGGTCCAGAAAGACACCTGCAGATAGTCAGAAACAAGGAAATGAATTCCAGAAAGTTTCATGCAGCAGATTAAGAAAATTTCCCATCCACATACACGTCATTCATAAATATTCATGTAGTGGAATCCACAAAACCTACAATGTTAACTTCCTGCTCATCCATTGCCTAAGATTTCATTTCCCCTTACTGTAAATGTTAAGCATACTGGCTATATTGCACATTTTACTATTCTGACTCAAGGCTTGGAGATCATAATTAGCTGGAATCACAAGCTACACATTTTATTCAACTATGCAACTTAAAATACCACAAATCAAGAAAGCAAGGTATTTAAAAAAAAAAAAACAACACAATTTCACTACAGACACGGGATAAATTGATTTGTAAGGAAAAAATGGCCAGTCAAGTCCAGCTATGTTTGACTGGCTCAAAACCATTGACTAGATTAACTATACTTGGAGAGAAGCATTACTGCAGTCAGTCTTGAGAGAATTGCCATTTCCTTTTCAAACTCAGTTAAAACCATCGAATGGCAAGTTTAAGGCACACCATCTTAGCACTGAACAGGTTTTCAAACTTTTCCAATAAGGATTTACGATTAACCTTGAAATCAGCCAAGGGTGAAAGTGAAACTAGTGTTACCAAATGGTTTTTAAAACATGTAAAACATTTTACATCTTCAGTAGACCACATCAAAAACTGACCTAGAAGGTCATTCAGCATAATCAGTAACTTACTGTGGGGGGGATTATTGATTCCAAACTTAAGGCTCAAGGAACAACAATTGATTTATTGAGGAGCTTTAATTGATACTATGCAGATACTGAAAAGGAGCCAGAACATGTCAAATCGGGTGCGTGTGTTACAGCAATTGCGGCTGGAAAGGCTAGTGACTACAAGATGGCCCAACAGAACCCAGTGTCCAGAGCCATTCAGATACCCAGTCTGAACGCCCAGCTTTGTCGGACTGTTCAATCTTCAAGAATGCATTTGTGGAGGGATCATACGAAACAAAAAGCCCCCAAGTGACATCAAATTTGTCATTCTATAACGATTAGTTTTTTTTTTATTTTTTTAAATACTATACTGACCATTTTCCATATGAGGGGGATTAAAACAAAGAGGGAAAAAAATGCTTGTTACCAGAGACTCCGGGGACAGGCTGTTATGCGACTAATAGTTCTAAAGGTTCTTAACACGCTGATACATTAAAATAAAATCATAATACAGGAAAAAAAAAAAAATCACACCTGTCAGATTGCAATCACACGACGAGGTACTACAAAGAAAATCTTATAGCTGAACTTTATTTGCATACGAAAACTTTGGATTTCAGATTTAAACCAAAATGATCCCCATTCCCTCTAAAAGCATGACCAAGTTAGCCATTCATCAGTAAGTACTGCAAAGGATTATAAAGGAATCAAGGCAGGTCAGTCTATATGCACAAAATTAACCGCTATGTAGCAAAGGCATCTTGTGAGAGCATGAGTAACGCAAAAAAAAAAAAACTTTATAAAATACACAGAAGAACCAAAGTAAATAAAACATGAAATACTAAATTTTAACAAAATTGTATGGGAATTAAATTCAGAAGACAGCCCATCCCTTTTAGTGTTCACAAAATTGAAAAATTCCTTTTTAAAGTACAGTCATCTAAAGGCTGTGCAACTTGGTAAATTGCCTTCTGAGGCATAATGCTCCAGGAAGACAAGGCCCCAACTAGATTCAAAAGCATAAATCAATATTTTACGCGCATCATATCCTGTCAGCAATTTTTCCATTGATATATACTTGGAGGATGAGGATTCTTAGATACTATCCATAGCTTTGAATTCGCTCAAGACTTGCAGAGGGTTTATGTGCTTCTTCTGGGAGGACCTCTTCACCTTGGTTTGGCCATCATCATGCTTCTCACGTTTGACTAGGGGCTTCTTCTCTGGGGCCTTCATCTTCCAAGAGATGGCAGGCATGTTGAGTGACTGCACTGCCCCGACCTTTTGGTACTTGGTGGAAGCTACATAAGACGCCTTTACTGTAGAGACGACAGTGTTCATCAAGTTCTTTGCGGCTTGAATGAGGGACATAGCGCTGTCCACCTGAAACAGAACCAAAGCGATATATGTAAACCATTCTGACCGCAAACCTGCATCAAAATCTGGAAGAAAAAAAAAGGATTATAAAATTGATACAGCTGGGAAATGACAAACAAAGATTCTGAAAAGTCAAACACACTTAACGTTTTAACAGCAGATCACTGAATTAATGACAGCTGATCATCAGATGTTAATATACCTATGCATCTATGAGGGAAATTCATTATATTGCGCATATGTATCAACAGAAGGAACACAGCACTGTGGTTTTATGAACCACCATAAACTTCCATTTTAAAGTGAAAAATAATTGGGTGTAAATAACTGGGGAACTGGGACTTGAGACAAATTTGCTAAACTTCTGACAAAGATGCTGTTCTCTTAAGAGAAAGGCACTTGCACAAAGCTAAATTATGTAAAATAAGAAAAAAAATGTTTTTGTATCATCTGGAAAGATATTTGTAATCTCAAAGCAGAGATACAATGAAACTTATTACCAAATAACCTAAATAGGCTTTAAGAATGTGGCGTTTTAAGGGAACACGGGTTTGGCAAAGTGTTTAAGACATATGCCTTTAAACACTGTACCTAAGGGGGGAGAATGCATTTAGATCTTAAAGCACGCAGTAAATGGTTCAAAAACACTGTCGCAAAGGAACTGCCTGGTTCACACTAAGCAAAACAGGTACTTTAAGTCTGTCAATGATCTAAAACCCATTAGCGTGCTACACTGAAAGCACAATGGGGTCAATACACACAATGGCGGAAATACTCCAGAAGTTGTGGGAATAAGGAATGACAGGCTGATGAGGATGCAGCCTCCAAGTAAGAGGGATAGCAGGAAGAAAACTAGAACAATTCTGCAAGAACTTTATCTAAATTATTACTGATCCATGTGTTTTGAAATAGTTTCAGTACGAACCAATGGACTTCTGACCTGACTAACACAAGTGCCTAAGGATCTACTGTTACCATAAAACAAATGCAGAAACCACATCATTTAAAACAGTAATTAAATAAATAAAAAAAAAGTTTTCCAAAAAATCTTATTAAAAAAAAACCCCTTGCAACAGTTCTTCACTACATAAAAATCGATCAGTCAAAAAGGAGGACATATAAATGGCAGGAAAGGAGAGTGCATCAAATCCCGATTACAAATGCTGAGAAAGGAATGCAGGTCTAACTGACAGCACCGAGTTTTGCTGAAACTTCTGCTGGCGAAAGATTCATATCAAATGAATATGCCTGTAACACAGCATTGCTAAAGGTGACAATCTCATTTACCTATTTTAATCGCATATAAAACTATTCAATATGCAAGAACCGTAAATATCAGACTCATTTTAATAAAATTAGGTTTCACTTTAGTTTAAGTTGACTGAACTACTTCATAGTTTAAAGGATTTCTTACATCATAAGCTATGTTGCTGTACAATTCCATTCGAATCAAACTGCTTTAAAACTTGTCTTGACTACATCAAAATTTTGCAGAAAAAGAAACACCAGTTAAAATAAGACCAATGTCTCCAATAACAGCACTTTAACACACAATGTAGTATGAAACTATAAGGACCTCAAAGTGTAAAGACCTGATAAAAGATACTTTTGGTTTCTTTGGGGGGGGGCTGAGATTGGGGGGGGGGCTGAGATGCTCACTATAGGAGGTTATTTTAAAGTAAAATCCTATTTTTAAATGCTACAATGTTAATTTTGTCACTGAAGACATACTGCATGATCTGGTAGCCGAACATGTTGGATGTTAGGTTGTAATCTTGTGCCAAGGACAGTTGCGGCATAAGATGCAGTCCTCAGTGTGTTGCCTTTCAATAATTCCTCTGACATCTCTCAAAGATGGTACACAAGAACGTTAATCAACTAAGGCATACGATTTATTTCCCTGAGATTTCCAGGCGATGGCTCAAGGCAATCTGGGTGGGCGGGATAGCAGAACTTACCCCAGAGACCACAAGCTCCCCACCAAGATTTTGCACTTCTGCCTTTACTTTGCTGCAGATGTTCAGCTGGTGGCAGAAGAGAGCGATGCGTTGCAGGTCGGCCAGAAGATCCTTCTTGTATGCACAGTCCGGGCACTACAAAGAAAGAGGGTTGGGGTCAGCGCTAAAAAGGCCAACGCAGTTCCCAACTGAATGTATGCCAAGTAAACAACATGTTTTCATCATCATCAAAAACCACTAAGGAAGAAATTCAAGTGTTATCAGTGCTTTTAGACATTAAGGGTAGGAGAGCAACAGAAAACATTATTTTGGGTGAGAAATGTTTTAATGTGCATAATTTATACTGGAAGGGCTTGAATATACAGAAATTTTATGAAAATGACAGAAGCAGCAAAAACTTTGAAAATGTGCTGCATTCAACATGGAGGTCATTCAAATTTTAATATTTTTTTAAAAAGCAGCAGTGGCTTTTTAAAGGGTTTTCTTTAAAGGAATATTATCTGAAGTTTGAGAGATGAGCTCTGAACAATGAACCAAAAAGGTCAGTCCTCCCAAAACATGCAGAACAAGCCATTTAAACCTCAAATACACATTTTGCCAGTTCACTACAACATAAGTTTGTGTGTGTGTGTATATATATATACACAAGTAGACCTTCCATGAATAACTATGCAAATTACTCAGAATAAATAAAATTTAAAAAAAATAAAAAAAACCTCTCAAATCCCACCTGGGTCACCATTCGCACATTATCGAAACCCTCTCCCTGCAACACTCAGCCTGATATTACTGCATTTAGCAGGAAATCAAGGCATAAAAATACCTGCAGCCAATGGCAGTGTCTTGGCACTATTATTCAACTACATCTTCTAGCAGATGCCTACCTCTGAGGACGTGTTTAAAGGCAAAAAAAAAGACCTGCACCACTTCACAGTACATTTTCCTCCCTGGTCCCAGGTCTCATAAGTTGCATGCACGTACGTACATACATACAGTACCAGCCAGACATCTGTACACACCTGTTTAAAGCAATTCTCAGTTTTAGCTATGCGATTCCTTAGAGTAGGCTTTGAGGAAATGAAGTAAAAATATTGACGACTAAGTATTCAACATTTCCAAATTATATTACATTTTAGACTTTTCAAACAGCCCCCTTTTGCTTCAATGTCAGATGTGCAGATGTTTGGCACCCTTTTGACCAGCTTCCAGATGTAGCCACCTGAAGTGGTTCTTCATCAATCTGAACGGAGTTTTCACAAGTTCTGGGCACAGGTTGGCTACCTTGCTCTCTCTCATTAAACCAATTGATCCCAAACCAGCTCCACAGGGTTTAGGACATGGTTTGTGAGGGCCCTGTTTTCAGTAGATATGTCCAGACTGTGTGTGTGTGTGTGTGTGTGTGTGTGCTTTGAAGTTGCATAACTGTATAAAGCAGTTGCAGTGGATCTCATTAAGTATTACTGTTAGATAATTGTAGTAAAACTGCTGGCATAAACAAAAAGGCCAAGTAGCAGACGAAATATGCACAAATCCATTTCCAGATCAGTTGGAGACACTAACAAAAAAACTCCACTGCAAGAAAGGAGCATGTGTGTGTGTGTGTGTGTGTGTGTGTGTGTTGGGGGGTTAAATGCTGATCAGCTCGGGGTGAAAGCAGTGGATGGATCACTTTGAAGAACTCCTCAAACCAGTGGCACTGCTGCAAACTGCAGGTTAAGTGGCTGCGGCAGTCAGAGGCCCCTGTGGCGGCATAGATGTTGACAACACTATATATTGTTGGGGTAAGACGGCCAGTTCTCTCCCTCAGTATCACATGGAAGTAAAGAACTTCTGAACTAGAACACAGGAGAGGTGGCCTGCATTGGGGAATCGGTGTAAGTCTACAATTCTCATCTGCCCTGAAAACAGTAGTACTGCCATATGGAAGAGGAGATTTCATCTAATGGCTGAACTTCAGATTCAGTGGTAATGTAAATTCCAACCTGGGCAGTGGTGACAATGGTTAGGGAAGCGTACTTGTAATTGAAAGATTGCTGGATCGAATCCCCGACCAGCAAGTCACCACTGAGGTACCCTGAGCGAGGTACCGCCCCCAAGCACTGCTCCCCGGGCGCTGAGTTAGCTGCCCCCTGCTATGTCACGACATCACATGCGGGTTAAATGCAGAGGACACATTTCGTTATTGTGCACTGTGTGCTGTGGTGTGTCAACAATGACCACAGATCACCTAATTCTAAATGCACTAATTGCCCTCACACAGCTGTGAGAGTTAATATGTACTCTGTGGACTTGGTGGAGGTCAACAGTAGCATGTGCTGAGGCACACTAAGATGCTGCAGGAATATGGCACTGGACTGCTCCCGCATGATTCGGCCCATGTGAATGTAGTAAGTTGTCCTCATCCAGGGCACAAAAAATCACAGCCATTTAGTGTATTGGCCTGTGTCAAGGATTCATTTGGGCTCCACTCCTGTTTGAGATTTTCATGGACGGGACAGAGGCACAGCTGAGACTGGAAGCCTGCCCAGTACAGGGGGCTAGAAGCGGCAGCCCTGCTATTTACAGATGTCATGATTTGGCCTCATCTGACTCAGACCCCGTAGAATACACTTGAGCGCTTCAATGCCATGTGTGAAGCAGCAGCACATAAGCAGAGCCAAAACTGAGACCACGGTGCTCTGGGGGCTTTCAGGCAAGGGGGCGAGCACAGCCTTAAAGAAAGAGCTTAAGTACCTTGGGATTTTGTTCACAAATGGTAGCAGGGAAAGTGAGACTGAGCGTCGGATCAGTTCAGTGACTGCAGTTTTGATGGCACTGAAGGGTTCTGGGGACCTAAGCCACTGGACGAAGCTCACAGTCTAGTAGTCAATCCATGTCTATCCCTGTGCTCAGCTATGATCTTGTTCTGTTGGTAATGACCGAATGGAGGCTGCGAGCACAAGCAGCCATGAATATACAGGCCTATCTTCACACAACAGCCTTGGCAAATTTATCAAGCCTGGAACTTAACTTTCATCGAGACACTAAGATGACTGGAAATTCAGGAATTATTTTTTAAAATGGTCATAAATCCAAATTTTAAGCTAGTCCTCAATTCATTTTATGAACTGGATGCAATGCATTTATTGCATAGAATAAAATGAACACTGCTAAGCTGCTAGCAAGGTTGCTGTGGTTGATGGGGCAGCTGTGTGCTTTAATTGAAATCAAAGCATGGCTAAATGGATTTAAAATTAGAGTAATTTTATGCAGGAATTGGATGGAAATAATGAATATTGAATTTTGCATAAATGGTTCATTAACATTTAAACACTGCATGAAGAGTTAACATAACTAGCTTTAATGCACAGAAGAATGCAAAACTGAAACAAAATACTACATTAAATGACTGTTTACCCAGATCAGAGAAATCTTTCTGCTAAGCAATGATACCATGCGTAGAATGACCTGGAACTTCAGGCTTAACATCATCATAATGAGACAAAGAACCACGGTTATAAACTGCTTATTCAAGAAATCAGGAATCTCTGGCATTGATAAGATTAAAGGAGAAGCTGGCTTTAGCTGTCATACGGCTAAACTGAGGCACCATGGATCAGTTCTTGATTTTCTTTACACTCCCCTGTGGTACGAAATTTACTGTGCCCTTCCTATAAAGCAGCAGAGACTAGACCTGGGATTAGACTCAGACCACCAACAGAGTTTATGGATTGCCTATAAATTTATACTGATTGAAAGCAAATTTAAAAGTACACTGGGGCATGAGGGGCGCGTCTTGAGGGCAGAGTATGCACAGCCCACATTTTAAGTATCCAAAGTCCCGTGTAGAGAGAGGTAGAAATTGTATAGGGCATGTGACTGCACTTATATTTACATTAAAAAGAGTTAGGCCTACAATCCACCACTGTCAACTATGAGCTGGTTCAGACGGAATTCTAATATGGCACCCTGTGGGGGCTGCTCATAAATTGTTAATGAACTGCAGTGCAGACCTTTGTGTAGCCCTGACCTACATCTTTCATGACATCATTTTCAAAGATATTTTAAAGTATTACCCTGCATGTTTCATGCCCCTCTATGATACAGGCAATAAAAAAAAAAAATCCTTACTGAAGTGCAACCCTAATCCCCCCCCGCCCCTACCCCATGCGACACCATAATGACATTTCATAGACATCTTCACAAAAACAGGGAATATCTATAGTGTATCTTAACTTTCTACCTGCAGGCTTCTAAGCTTAGTGTTGCAGGTATAAGAGCTAAAAATAAACCCACGTTATAAAAAGTCTGCCAAGAAGTAATTAAGCTACTAATTAAAGACGAATGACTCTTAATGAACTGAATTCCACTGAGATTTTGCCATGCCTGTTCTCCTCCCCAGTTCCACATATCTTTAGTGAAATTAGTCAACTAATACAACTTCTGAGCTCAGAACCTGTCATAATACTGGTCATTCTAGACAGTTTCTTGAACGTGTACAAAGGCCGAAAGGCTTCCAGCACTTTGTAAGGCACCCTTAGCACCCAAAAAGAGCTTGATTAAATTAAATTGAGCCATTTCAGCTTCAGCCTTTGCTCTCGCTCACATGTATGTTTTTTAATGCATGATACTGCTGCCATTATTCAGAACAATAAAGTAACTTAAAACCAAAGAGTTGAGAATGACCTTACTATTTTGATTTGAAGTAAGATCAAAACTAGAGGAATTGGCTTCTTGCAAACCATATCCAAGCCATGGCACATTAAAAACAGAATACAGGTACAAATGTTTAAGCTTGCTGAGGTACAGTTGGGCAAGGCTACCTGGGTACATTGGGCATCCAAGTCCAAGCACAACAGAACCAATTTTTTAAACAAAAACCACAGATAACATTTACTTGGTTATTTGAACAGTAGTACTGCAGTTCACACAGGGTTCCTCATACTTGCATCCTCAACAAAGTTCACTTGTCACAGCCTGCAAACCTACGGAAGGTGGGCGGAACACCAGCCAGCACCAGACCGACACTCCATTTCCCTGACCTTTGCTACCAACAGTTAGCGGTGATAACAGCAGACCAGGTCGGCCACAGCATGTGTGAAACATACAAAAGAGGAAGAGACTGTAGAACATTAATAAAGCATACAAAGCTTTTAGCGAAGGGAAAACACGAGGTACCTCATCAGCAATGGCACGACCCAGCTTGTCCATTCTTGATCCAGCTTCTGCGATCTTCTTGGCGGCACTAATTACATCAGCTGTGTTCTTCAGAGGCCCTTTCCCCCTAAGAAAAGGTCTTCATGTTATTTGCTGCTCTTGTGTTTTGCCATATTTACATTCCTTTCCATAACACTGGGGTAATTTCAGGCATATTTGTCACTTAAAAACAGGATCAGTGACAAGCCTGTGGCAGTCCAGTATCAGCACTGATAAGTCATTTATTACAGAATCCTATCCGGTCAAGCTACTGACACAACACTGCCTCTGTGTAATTTTACCCTTCAGAACAAGTGATTTAAATACAAATCTCCCCGAATTAGATTTCATCATATGCCAACCCAGAGGCCCAGACTCCCCTCTGAACTTGAGGGGGGGAGGGGGGAAGAGTTAAAATTTATTACAGGAATATCATCGCTTTGTGTGAACCAAACCGGATGGTGAAGGCATTGAGCAGACACCACCTACTCTATCCCAGCTGTCTGGTCAGTTCCGGAGCCCAGTGCTGCTTGGGTCTACAGTATGGCCTACAGCCCGGCCTTTCCTACCCCCACAGCCAAAGCGGGGAAGTCCTTTGCCAGTTCTGTGTCCCCACAAGGGACTCCGGAGCACAGTTGGCAAGTGGCACAACCTGGCACAAAGCTGCTCTCTCCAGGCTAAATGGAGCCATCCAAAGCATGACAGATGGAATTCTACACCCCCCCCCCCCCCAGAGAGTCAGACACTAGAAGTCAAGGCTTTGAGAGGGAAGGTAAGGTAGAAGGTAGCACTATAAACACTAACAATCAGCAGTCCTACTCTTCTCATCAATGTTGTTTCATCCGTTTTCAATTCAATGTGATCACAGAAAGGGATCACAGACTATACCCACACGAGTCCAACACCACGCTGCATTTATCTTACTCTAAATTATCTGCCAATCACCTGTGACCAATTACATAACAGGAGTACTACAACATTTCATTAAACGGATACATATATACCTGCACAGCTTTTAAAGTTTGTTTACTTGTACTAACAAAGTAATTGTGAAGTTGTCAGAGCATGCCTGTCATATTCATACAGCGGAGGGTGGGATAGGGGGACGGGCGGCTCTAAGATACATTAACTGATGGCAGCAGGGTTGCTGGCTATTAATCCCTAAGGATACAGGCACTATTTTTTTGCGCTGCGTTCACCTTCAGGGAATTGTGCTGGACATCAAGGTTGAGGGCCTGTAAAAGTGGAACATTTGAGACTCCAAGGACTGCCAAAACATCTATCTTTCACAAACCACCTGCTTTCAGAAACAGAAGAGCGAATTCATTTGATACAAAACTATTTGTCCTCTCATTATGGATTTCCGCCTTCTGACATTTGCGGATTTCCAAGTAATTTGAGAAGTGTTTCCAAATCGTGAGATGGCCCTACACTGGCATAGATGCGTCAACATACACATAAAAGTAGAGTAACTCCAGAATTCTTCCCCCAAGTCTTTCAGCAAAACCTCCAATGAGGGGCCAGCATAAATACTGCTGATAGGCATTTTAATTAAAATCCTCAGCATAGCTTTAAGAGGCAGCCTTATTTGCATTTATCTGCATGGTATTAAGATGCAGTACAATAGGTCTAGAGGAAAGCTGCTTTGCAATTACTTTGCCTTGAACCTTCTGGGGAATGCAGAGCGCACTCTGAACTAGCAGAATCAAGTGGACAGTGAATGTATTAAGTTTGATCATCTGCAGCATACTCATTCCTGTTCTTTGCAAATGGCTCTACAATACTGAGACATGAATGAGTAAGAAAGATTTGGATCCATTAATAGCTAAACTAAAGTGACAGCCCTGTGCAGAAGATAGATTGGCACTTTTAGGACCTTCCATCTAACCAAATTTTAAATCAAAGGCAGACTGGCATTTCAGAGCGGCTGATGAACATGTGTTCTGCCATCTCCGTTCCAAGTGTGACATGAAAAAGGCACAGAGACTTTCCTTCTGAGTTTTTGATGAGCATTTTAAAACTAATGAAGGCGCATCATCAAGATATTGCAAGCGAGTTGTATGACTGAACCTACCCTTGTTATTCCAAGCATTGCTATGACAAACTAAATATCCAGTCAACTGAAGGTCCAAGATGCTACATCTCAACATTTATGATAACCTGATAGAATGTGAACTGCTGCTTTACCAGCTGAATTAAACTACAATACTAGACATCTCTAGTAATGTTATCGGTCATTTAAAAAAGAAGCGTTTTGAATCTGGAACTGATGTGTAAATATAATCCTCATTTAAAATTGTTCACTAAACCCACACCATGGACACAAATGTTTAGGGATACATACAGAATAATTCTCTTAGGCACTTATTGCACAGAAATGCAGACCTCTTGTACTGAAATAATGCTTTATGAAAACCTCCAGGATATAGCATAGCCAGAGGAAGGAATTTTCATCATTTCATCGCGGACAGATAGTTTTAATTGTGATTTGATGCAAAAGTTGTACGACAGCGGCTGCGTAACAAAATGAACATGATTCTGTCAGGACATGCGTCAGAGACACACTCACCTGGTGAAGTCCGTCATTTCCATCATGATCATACACATCTGCTTGGCAAGCACAATGATGTCATTCCCACTGTCGTCCCACTTGGACACTTCAGCGTCCAGCTTGCTCTTCTCCTCTTGAAAGCTGGCCACCTGTTCTGCAATCTTAGCTTTCTGCTCTTCAGGAAGCTGGGCCATAATAGCCTATTGAGGATAAATAGCACTTTGAATGATAAGCATAACATTTCCAGTAAAACAGAAAAAAAAATATGGGGAAAAACCAGCTTTGAAGCTTCCGTCAGTCATTGCAATATGACAGTTGGAAAAATTTGAGTTATTGGCAGCAATTACAGTAATATGACTGGGCTTAAAAATAAAAAATATTTCCTGATGTAAATGAAGATTTCAATGATCCGATATCAATTCATAAAATTCTGAGGTCGGTTTTTAATGTGTGCCTTGTCTACAGCTCATGGATACGTGAAGCTTCAACCCCTTCAATCTCACGTGGCCAGCCTCGTGCAACAAGATCTGGCCAATAAAAACAGATTTTAAAAATGCCACACAGTGCTGCACTGAAGGCAGTGCTGCATGGTAGACCGCAATTATCTGGAATATTTGCATCTATATAACAAAGATGATTACATTTAAATTTAGCTGAAAAATATAGTCAAAGAAAACTATCTGCCAATAGTGTATGTCAAATAAGTTGGTGATGTTGGCACGAGTTGTCAAATCAGTGCCAAAAAATGTGATTACAGGGCTTTACATAACGGGTGTGAAAATTTGTCCGGACGTTTATTTACACCCACAATTTGATAAGCAGATTAGCAGTAAGCCTGAAAATATTGATGAGGTATACTGTGATGCCCAAAACTTCGTAATCTGTAAAAATTTAACCTCCTTATGCTTAATGAATGTCAGACTAATCGACAAAAAGTACAACCACACCAACGTCTTTTTACCTTGTTTATCCAAACTTTTTGGTTTCAACTGCTATCAAATCAAATCCAATGGAATCAGAAATCAAATTGATTTGCGACCCAGTGAATCAGAACTGAACTGATTCGGGAAATCAGTGGAAATACCCAGCCCTAGAGGACAAATTGGGTTATTTGCCTCTTTAGTTGAATCATGAGATCGACTAACAAGTACTGCTTGTGTGGAAATACAAAATCTTTTGAAGGCCTGACAGACAAAAACACTGAAAATATGTAGGCTGAAAATTTTAAGCGTGAAGGGTTGAAATATAGTGGATATGTAAATGAATGAAGCAGCGTTTTACTCTCCAGTGCATTTTTAAGCAACCTATTGATAACAAAGAAACTACTTAAACACTTAAATGTAATCAGCCTAGCCACTACCTGTATTGTGATTTCACCAACACTGCTGTTGCCATAGTAGTAGCAAGAGACATTTGTCACATGTATTATGCTATATATTTGCTCACTGCAGAATCCCTTGCCAATTTCAGCTGCCACTGAAATATCCAGAGCTAAGGGTCAAGATGACATGGCCCTTTTCAGTCATCACGTTCACTAACACTGTCATGTCTGTGCCGCTTTTGACACCGATTTCACTTTTATTGCAGAGAAACATCCACCCATAACCAAAATGTTATTTTTGTAAAACAAAAGCTGAACATTGAGTATGGGTTAAAAGTGCAACTTAAATATGTCTGTACCCATAGGATACAAAACAACCATATGACATGTAGCTATCAGAGCTCAGTCTACCTGTGTGCTGAGCTGCCATACCTTTATTCTCAGAAAGGACACAGGACAAAATTCAATTTGCATGGGAAAGATTGCTAACTGGACTGAATGCCTAGAAATTTTAAACCAAGAACAGACCGACCTGCTGAATCTCACTGTATCATGCTAGGAAACCTATTTAAATAACGACATGGAGGGAAATCACTATTCAAAAGAGTAATTTTCTGAAAATAATTATTCCATTTAACAGTAAAACAAAAGTTCATTTCCTGAAAATGGGAATTAGATGCAGCTGAAATAGCAGGGGCACACTTACAAACTGCAGAGTACTAAAATACTCTTCCAATTACGAACATGGGATGATCTACATAGCTACATTTGTGATATACTCCCCTTAAAGACAATGCATAGAGAGCTTAATTTGTTCTGAGAGGATACCTAACAACTTGATTCCAGTTGATTCCTTCTGCACAGATATAAAAAGGGAATTTCAATTCATTCCATGAAAATGCCACATTAGCTTTGGATGTTGAAATCAATTTAAATTGCTGTGCCTTATTTAAACAGACCTCTATTGTACCCTTTTGGCCAATGTGTATCTGCCTTTGTGTATCACCAAGGCAACAGAACACAATTCTGAGTGGATAAGGAGGATGATATATACTTGTCTGGTTGGTTGAGAACGGGCTCTCTGCTTTCATTAGAATATCATCTAGAGCCTTGTCGTCACTGCTAACAGTGATGAGCCTTGCATAATTGTGTATTTGTGCCCATCGCTGAACTAGTGTGTGTTATTAAAAGGAAGGTACTGAAAATTAAGCTGGCAAGAAACTAGGCCACGCCAACCACGCTACTCAAGGGGTGTGTGTGAAACTGGGGGGGGGGGGGGGGG